TACAATTTTTTTAATGATATATTAATCCAGGTAGAACCAAGTCAATTAGGGCTATAAATAGCTATGATATTGCACAGGGCTTTCCTCATGGCTATATGAAAATTTAAGTTCAACTACTTGATTATCATGGAAAGTTCACATGTAGTTTTTGGTCACTTAATATTTCAAGTACGTAGATAGAGTGTAGAAAACAATTACATATGAACTATTTCAACCCTTTAATTCACAAACCTTGGTTTAGTTGGTTGCTACCGAGCAAGTGGGATGGAATTTCATACTTCTTTTAAAAGCACGAGTTCGAAAAAATCTTTTAATATTTTATTTAAATCTTAATCTATCATAATCATAAATAAATAATAGAATGATAAGTAAACCAAGCAAAATCCATATAACACAATAAACAACAAATATTACATTTTTAAGTTAATATGTAGGGCTCATTCAGAACAAGCTATCAAGATAAAAGCATCTCCACCAAGGCTATTTACAAATGCAATAAAAATTTTAACTTAGCGATATTATGCAAGAATTACAATATTTGAAAGAGGTATGATCCAAAAAAACCTACTCTATAATTCACACAATTAAACCTAATTAAAATTTACCAATGTACAGATACGCTATTGCACATTTAAGATAAAAATAACTACCAGTTATAGTAGACTTGAGTTGTGGCTTTACGCTTGCAAAGACCGCAACAAGAAGGTGGTTATAAATGTAAATAACGAGTGTCCAAATGATAAATGTTATAGAATCTCTGATGACTTAGGACATCACAAAGGTAACACTATTTGATGCAGTAAAAACTCTTATTAGGTGCACAATACAAGAATTCATTACAAAGAAAAAATAGGTCAATCCTAACTTAACTTAAATAATGAATTAGAAACACAAAAAAATTATCATATATATGAAATTAACATTTGTTCTCATTCAAATTACTTGTAAAGTTAGATGAGAAGATAAAAAATTAATGAGCCCAAGGAAAGATAATAGCATGAGAAATCCAGGTCCAGTCTGATGTCACAATTCACGTAGATGATGAAGACATCACTTCAAAACTACTCTAGAAAAAGATAAAAGTGAAGAAGGCTTGATCCCGACTCAATAAAAAATAAAACAGAAAGAATAAAAGATAATATTTTCTTAATATTTTATTAAATAACCTAATTTTTGAGTAAAATTAGGAATATTTGGAAGAGATTTTCACTAATTTTTAAATATTTTTATATATTTATTTTGTGGCTGTTTTATCTATAAAATTATAATAGAGTTAGCATTAAAATTTAGTTTATGGTTTTTAATGAAGTCTATCAATGATTAGGAATAAAATCCATATTCGCTTTTGTGCCATTTTAGCCACTTCTAATTAATTTTCTAGGCTAATTGGCTTTAATTAATCCGCTTGCTATTATAATGCTATTTTTTCAAGTATTTTTTACTTTTGTAACACTATACTTCTATAGGTAAAACTTCCTTTCATGTCGATCCAAATAATATGAATATTCAAATTGATTTCACGTTGATTTCGTGTCAATTCAATTACCAACATGAAACTTAAAATTGGGTGTAGCTCATTCAAACAAGCATTAAAGAAAATAAATAATAACAATGTTAAATTTTAGAGACATAAGTGAGTAAAAACTATCAAATTGAAATCGAAGAAATTTTTTTAATAAGCAAATAAACTAAAAATAAATAATTATGACATTTAACCACGCGCAATGCACGTGCATAAAAACTAGTATAAGAAAAATATACTACCACTTAAAAGTCCATGAAATCTACAAAATTAAGAATTTAATAGCAGATTTTGAGAATAAAATGACTGTAAAAATTTAAACCAAATCATTGTAAATTTTTTTTTAAAAAAAACTCATTAGGATAAGCTATTAGTGAAAAAGTTAACATCCAATTCTCTAGTAACTTAAACAGATTAACTAAGTACATTTCTCAATTGATTCCTCATTTAGCCAACCACATTCCAACCCCATAATAATCTTATATTGCAATATTATATGGCCTATAATATTTAATAAACAGATTGACTAGGTACGTTTCTCAATTGATTCCTCGTTTAGCCAACCACATCCCAACCCCATAATAACTTTATGTTGCAATATCGAGCCATACAACATTTAATAATCATTCACACGGCAACCCTGAAATCTGCCTGAAGGCAGCATTCTCCTACTTGATACCTCCTCGTTACCCTCCCTCTTAATTTATTAACGAGACGTCCCAATCAGCGGAAACCTCTACCAACCAGAACAAACCCTAGCAACAAAATTGGGTAAAGCAGAGTAAAGAAATTTTACCGGAGGCGGCGGTGCCGGCGACGAACGGCCTGGCATTGTACCTCTTGGTAGCTCGCCGGCCGGCCCGAATGACTCCCCGCTGAACAGAACGCATGCAGCGTTCACTGCAGCAGCGACAGCGGCGACGGTGACATCGTAGCGGCGTAAGGCCCTCGCGTCGCCTTAACGTAGACGCCGTCGATGAAGGGGACGAGAGGAGGGAGGGCGGCGAGAGAGGAGGCCGGAGTTGATGCGGAGGGAGGCGCGGGACTTGTGGGCCGCGACGGAGCACGATGACGATGAGGGCGAGGAGGCAGCAGAGCAATGTAGGCGACGGAAAGGCGCCGCGTCGACGGGGCGGAGGGGTAGAGTAGGAGAAGTAGTCGACGGCGTATGAAGGCGTTCCATGGGAGGAGGAAGCCGGGCCGAGGAATGAAGTGGACGAGTTAGGCGCGACGTGGAAGGAGTCCTCCGGTGCGCGGCGGAGTGGGGTGGCCGAGGAGGAGAGGCGTGCTGTGTGGTCGGATTTCGATAGGTTCAGATCCGCGCGCCGGCGAGGCCATGATTCTGAGTGAGATATTCTTGAGCCGACGTGGAGTTTCTTTGCTCACCCGGATTTTTTTTTGGTCTTCTTTTCTTCTCGAAGAGAACGAAGCAAGGATGGTTTTTGTGAATGCTGAGTGTTGCAAAGTTCATGCGAAAATATTATATGCGCGTTGTCTGCTCATATTCATTTGCAAGATAATCTTGGGAAAAATGTGTCGCCCCCCCCCCCCCCCAAAAGCTGAAATCAAATCAGTGACGAGGTCCATTGCTATTTTCCTGCCTTGTGTACTAAGTTCCAAAACAGTCTTTAGTATTTCTATGGCCCTCTCACGATCAGGCTGTATACAGCCAGAGGCATTATATTTTAAAAAAACCCGACTTTGCCCTTCTCCTTCTTCCCCAGATGCTTTGTCACCACTCTTCGTCACATCTCATTAAATACAAACTACTGTAAAAAATGAAGGGAAATTTCCCCTCTTTTTCAGTCTATCACGAGCAATAAATATCTAGTTATCCATTACTCTTCCATTACTCTTCCTCAGACCAAAATTCTCTCCATTACTTTTCCTCAGACCAAAATTCTCTCCATTACTCTTCCCTCCACTTCATAATGGCTGAAAAGGACATCACCTGCATCGTAGCTTCGGGTGATAGAGCAGTATTCATGAAGATTAACACTTCAACCACCATTCTTGATCTAAAATTTGATGTGTCAGATAGGTTAGATCTTCCATATGAATCATTAAGTTTGTCATTCAAAGAAGAAACAAATGGAAGCTTCAAATTTCCTATTGAGAACGAGGGGGATCTGTCGTCTATGGTGGAGCATTGCCATAACAGAGGATTAAAGGAGGTTCACATGCAAGCTTTCAAGGAAAAAGAGGATTCTTCAAAAGTCCACAGCGCCGTTCAAGTTCGAGATGACATGTAGGGGCAAGGATTTTTTTGATGCTAAGACCAATATTCATGTAATATCAGTTAATGTTAGTTCATTGGATTATAGCTCGGATTCTAATAGATTTGCTAGTTCTAGCCCACAACTTGTAGTTATAAACCCAGCCCTCGTTTTTTAATTCAAACTTAATAATTATCGCTTCTACGTTAGTTCTAGCTTCTATTACCCTAGTTCTAGCTTGTATACAGCCAGTTCTAGCCCATAACTTGCTAGTTCTATACCTAGCCCGTGTTTTTAATGCAAACTTGTAAATTCTAGCTTCTATCTCACTAGTTCTATCTTGTATACAATCAGTTCTAGCCCACAACTTGCTAGTTCTAATCTCAGCCAGCGTTTTTAAATGAAAACTTGTTAAATCTAGCTTTTACGTTAGTTCTAGCTTCTATTACCATAGTTCTAGCTTGTATACATCCAGTTCGAGCCCACAACTTGCTAGTTCTAAACCCAGCCCGCGTTTTTTTCATGCTAAGTTGTTAATTCTAGGTACTACGTTAATTCATGTAATATCAGTTAGTATCGGTTCTAATAGATTTATTGTTAAGTATAATCTATTAGTTGTTAGTTCCAATAGACTTATTGTTAGTGCTAATCGATTTGCTATGAGATCTAGTTCAAACCGTGTTAGGTCCAACATGTTAGTTCTAAGTGACTTCATGTTCGGTCTAAACGTTTTCATGTTAGTTCTAAATGAAATCTTGTTAGTTCAATTGGATTCCACGATAGTTATAACACAAGCAGTTGATGTTTTTTTTGCCTTTTCCTTATTTGTGTTATTTGTTGATGTTTCTATTGTATAGTTTATGATCATTTGTTCATGTTCTTTAAATTTGCAGCGCTACCAGCAGTATGAACTCAAAAAGCATAGAGGGTGGCCCGCCGTTGTCGACGCCCACATGTGTTTCAGATAGGATCCCCAATGATAATCCTTCTGGAGATAATGTTCCGATGATTGATGACATGATTAGCAGATCAGAGAGGATTCCTGCTTGGTGGCACACTGCTTTAACCGGTGAGGGCCAACGGTTTGAGAGTGCGAAGGAATTAAGATTGGCTTTACTATACTATTCCATGGCCAAAAAATTCGAGTACTTGTTTGCTAAGAATGAACCGAAGCGTATTCGAGTCTTTTGTCGGTTCAAGGAAGCCCAAAATTGCCCGTGGATGTTATTTGCCTCTCCAACACAAAATGAGAACAGACTTGAAATCAAAACCTTCGTGGACAACCACACATGTGGGAATTTTGGCAATAATGCAGGTCAATCTAGGGCGTCACGACAATTCATTGCGACCCAAGTATTACCCACGTTAAAGGTCCGACCAGATTTACGACCTATCGACGTACAAAAGGAGTTACTAACTTCGTATGGGCTTAGGGTCGATTATAGCAAGATATGGTGGGGTAAAGAAAGAGCACAATAGCAACTATATGGTGATGCCCATAAGTCCTACGATCAATTACGATGGTAAAAGAAGATAATATCTATAATATAGACACTAATTTCATTTATGTTGATCCTAACATATAATCTTCAATGGTCTAGGTATGTAGAAGAGGTTAAGAAGACAAACCCAGGTAGCTACATTCATGTTGAAGAAAATGAGGGGAGGTTTTCAAAGCTATTCATCTGTTATGCCGCCTGCATAAATGGGTTTTTGAACGGTTGTAGACCACTTATATTTTTGGATGGTACCTTTCTGAAAGATCGTTTCAAAGGTATACTCCTCAGCGCCGTTGCATACGATGGAAATCAGGGGATATTTCCATTAGCCTATTGCATCTGCGATCAGGAAAATACTGTAAACTGGAATTGGTTCTTACAAGGTTAGTTCGGGTCATGTTAGTTCTACTAGAATTCATGCTAGTTCTAACTCATTTGTTGTTAACTCTAACTTCAAATATGTTAACTACAAATATTTCGTTGTTAACTCTAACTTCAAATATGTTAACTACAAATATTTCGTTGTTAACTCTAACTTCAAATATGTTAACTACAAATATTTATAGGTTTATGATCTATTCTCTATGAAAGGCCAGATCCATACAACCCTCCACACAAACTAGTTATAATATCTGATGCGGATAAGGGGATCAGAGAAGCAGTCAGAGAATATTTTCCGGATGCTATACACTCTAGATGTATTCTGCATCTAGTTGAGAATTTCAGGACAAAGTTGCGGGATTTGGGCTTCAAGGCAAAGGATACTCGGATTTTGGGCAACCTTTTGCAATCTGCTTGTTACAAATATACGAAAGCAGAATGGAATGACTATGTGGAGGACATTAGACTAGCGGACGACGAGCCTACAATATTGTCATGAACTACGCTCCAGAGAACTGGGCTAACGCATTTCCCCCCGGAATTAGGTAATTTATAAGCTATGTCATTTCTTATTTCAGTTAGTTGTTTGCCTAACTAAATTAGACATGAATGGATACACTGGAACTAACTATAACCTAGTCGGAACTAACATAGGCGATATACCCAACACTTGTAATAGAACATGGGTAATAACCCAGTTAGCTGGAGTTAGAACTAACTGGGTACCATCTAGAACTATCAAGATAGAAGCTTTCACTAAGAACTACTCAGATAGAACTGACATGACAAATAACTCAGTATTTTTGATGAATTCCCTGTTATGTTCCAGATATGGTCATGTTACATCAAATGTTGTAGAGTCATTCAACAAATGGATACATGAGGCTAGGCTTCTACGGATACTACAACTCGTAGAACACATATGTAAATAGATTATGGTTCGCATGAATGAGCGACGATTAATGGCTGAAAGTTGGAATGGATTTCTTTGTCCCAAAGCTGAACTTGTCCTCAAAGAGAACATGGAAAATGGGCGTCCATTGGATGTGCGTCAGTCTCATACAAGATTATTTGAGGTACAATCTCATAAAACTTGTAAAGTGGATCTTGACAATAAAACATGCACGTGCCGCGCGTGGGATGTAACCCGTATCCCTTGCAAACATGCATGCGCAACCATTATGTTTATGAAGAGGGATGGTTACCAATTCTGTGACTGGTTTATGACGGTTGAAGCTTTTAAAAAGAGCTACGAGCCAATCCTCTACCCCATCCCCGATTACGAGAAGCGTAGCGTACCACGGGAGGAGATACAGATCCTAACACCATTAACAACAAAAAGGAAAGGGAGAAATAAGACCAGGCGTATCAACAACAGAACAGTTTACACACGACCACTTAAATGATCTCGATGTCATGTGGAAGGTCACAACCGTAAAACATGTAATGAATCTATTGCTGACTAAGTACTTGATATGTTGTTAACTATTTTGCTTGTATATTTACAAACTAGTACGTTTTGTTTAATGTTGAAAGTATTCTCATGTGTGATGAGAACTAACATCATCTCCACTAGCAAAAATGTTGTAAGTATTAGAACTACACGAGAACAAATAGATCTGATAATGGCTAAGATAGAACAGACACGACAGCATCTAGAACATCATCATCAGCAGCTAGAACAAATATTGACTAAGCTAGAAATAACACGACAGCAAAAATAAAAACTGCGCGGGTAAAATACGAAGGCTGGTTTTAGAACTAGCACGGTGTAGGCTAGAACTGGTTGTATACAAGCTAGAACTAGTGTGATAGAAGCTAGAACTATGTAGAACCTAGAATTAACAATTTAGCATGAAAAAACACGGGCTAGGTTTAGAACTAGCAATATGTGGGCTAGAACAGCTCTATACAAGTTAGAACTAGTGGGATAGAAGCTAGAACTAACGTGGAACCCAGAAATAACAAGTTAGCATGAAAAAAACTAGGGCTGGGTTTAGAACTAGCAAGTTGTGGGCTAGAACTGGATGTATACAAGCTAGAACTAGTGGGATAGAGGCTAGAACTAACGTGGAACCCAAAAATAACAACTTAGCATGAAAAAAACGAGGGCCGGGTTTAGAACTAGCAAATTGTGGGCTAGAACTGGATGTATACAAGCTAGAACTACTGGGATAGAAGTTATAACTAACGTGGAACCCAGAAATAACAAATCAGCATGAAAAAAACTAGGGCTGGGTTTAGAACTAGCAAGATGTGGGATAGAACTGGATGTATACAAGCTAGAACTAGTGGGATAGAAGCTAAAACAAACGTGGAACCCAGAAATAATAAATTAGCATGAAAAAAACTAGGGCTGGGTTTAGAACTAGCAAGTTGTGAGCTAGAACTGGCTGTATACAAGCTAGAACTAGTGGGATAGAAGCTAGAACTAACGTGGAACCCAGAAATAACAAAATGGCATGAAAAAAATCACGGGCTGGTTTTAGAACTAGCAAAATATGGACTAGAACTGGATGTATACAAGCTAGAACTAGTGGGATAGAAGCTAGAACTAACGTGGAACCCAGAAATAACAACTTAGCATGAAAAAAACTAGGGCTGGGTTTAGAACTAGCAAGTTATGGGCTAGAACTGGCTGTATACAGGCTAGAACTAGTGGGATAGAGGCTAAAACTAATGTGGAACACAAAAATAACAACTTAGCATGAAAAAAATGAGAGCTGGGTTTAGAACTAGCAAGATGTGGGCTAGAACTGGATGTATGCAAGCTAGAACTAGTGGGATAGAAGGTATAACTAACGTGGAACCCAGAAATAACAAGTTAGCATGTAAAAAACACGGGCTGGGTTTAGAACTAGCAAGTTGTGGGCTAGAACTGACTGTATACAGGCTAGAACTAGTGGGATAGAAGCTAGAACTAACGTGGAACCCAGAAATAACAAAATAGCATGAAAAATTCGCGGGCTGGGTTTACAACTAGCAAGATGTGGGCTAGAACTGGATGTATACAAGCTAGAACTAGTGGGATAGAAGCTATAACTAACGTGAAACCCAGAAATAACAAGTTAGCATGAAAGAATAGCGGGCTGGTTTTAGAACTAGCAAGATGTGGGCTAGAACTGGATGTATACAAGCTAGAACTAGTGGGATAGAAGCTAGAACTAACGTGGAACCCAGAAATAACAACTTAGCATTAAAAAAACTAGGGCTGGGTTTAGAACTAGCAAGTTGTGGGCTAGAACTGACTGTATACAGGCTAGAACTAGTGGGATAGAAGTTATAACTAACATGGAACCCAGAAATAACAAAATGACATGAAAAAATCGCGGGCTGGTTTTAGAACTAGCAAGATGTGGGCTAGAACTGGATGTATACAAGCTAGAACTAGTGGGATAGAAGCTAGAACTAACGTGCAACCCAGAAATAATAAGTTAGCATGTAAAAAACACGGGCTGGGTTTAGAACTAGCAAGTTGTGGGCTAGAACTGGCTGTATACAGGCTAGAACTAGTGGGATAGAAGCTAGAACTAACGTGGAACCCAGAAATAACAAAATAAAATGAAAAAATGAGGGCTGGGTTTAGAACTAGCAAGATGTGGGCTAGAACTGCATGTATACAAGCTAGAACTAGTGGGATAGAAGCTAGAACTAACGTGGAACCAAGAAATAACAAGTTAGCATGAAAAAAACTAGGCCTGGGTTTAGAACTAGCAAGTTGTGTGCTAGAACTGGCTGTATACAGGCTAGAACTAGTGGGATAGAAGCTAGAACTAATGTGGAACCCAGAAATAACAACTTAGCATGAAAAAAACACTTGCTGGTTTTAGAACTAGCAAGATGTGGGCTAGAACTGGATGTATACAAGCTAGAACTAGTGGGATAGAAGCTAGAACTAACATGGAACCCAGAAATAACAAGTTAGCATGAAAAAAACTAGGGCTGGGTTTAGAACTAGCAAGTTGTGGGCTAGAACTGGATGTATACATGCTAGAACTAGTGGGATAGAAGCTAGAACTAACGTGGAACCAGAAATAACAACTTAGCATGAAAAAAACTAGGGCTGGGTTTAGAACTAGCAAGTTGTGGGCTAGAACTGGCTGTATACAGGTTAGAACTAGTAGGATAGAATCTAGAACTAACGTGGAACCCAGAAATAACAACTTAGCATGAAAAAAACTAGGTCTGGGTTTAGAACTAGCAAGTTGTGGGCTAGAACTGGATGTATACAGGCTAGAACTAGTGGGATAGAAGCTAGAACTAATGTGGAACCCAGAAATAACAAAATAGCATGAAAAATCTAGGGCTGGGTTTAGAACTAGCAAGTTGTGGGCTAGAACTGGCTGTATACAGGTTAGAACTAGTGGGATAGAAGCTAGAACTAACGTGGAACCCAGAAATAATAACTTAGCATGAAAAAAACTAGGGCTGAGTTTAGAACTAGCAAGTTGTGGGCTAGAACTGGATGTATACAGGCTAGAACTAGTGGGATAGAAGCTAGAACTAACGTGGAACCCAGAAATAACAAAATAGCATGAAAAAAACTAGGGCTGGGTTTAGAACTAGCAAGTTTTGGGCTAGAACTGGCTGTATACAAGTTAGAACTAGTGGGATAGAAGCTAGAACTAATGTGAATCCCAGAAATAATAACTTAGCATGAAAAAAACTAGGGCTGAGTTTAGAACTAGCTAGTTGTGGGATAGAACTGGCTGTATACAGGCTAGAACTAGTGAGATAGAAGCTAGAACTAACGTGGAACCCAGAAATAACAAGTTAGCATGAAAGAATAGCGAGCTGTTTTTAGAACTAGAAAGATGTGGGCTAGAACTGGATGTATACAAGCTAGAACTAGTGGGATAGAAGCTAGAACTAACGTAGGAGCATGCATTAAAAAGTAGCGGTTAGAATCAACATTGTCTTCAAAATTAACAATTGCAGCAGCTATAACGCGCTCGAGGGCTACTAGAACTAGTACGATAGCATCTAGAAATAACATATCATTCGGTATAACGACTGTAAATAGAATTAACAACGATTTATAAAAACATGACTGTGAAGTACGTTTATAACAACGATTTATAACTACCATCCACACCTTGCAATGATTTTTAACAATGATTTATATCTATCAACGAATAGTTTCCTTCCATTACAGCAGCAAAATTTGAATGAAACTATCTTTATGCGGTGTTGCGGTGAAGAAAGAAGCTGGATCCTCATTTGTTGCTTCCCTCGCTTGAGCGGTAGATGTCTGATAAAACTTTATCACTACTAGTTCTCTTACGCTTTCCGCGCGTGGATGATGGAGAGCTGGACTTTGATGATCCACTTTGCGAGCCTGAAGCGTTTCCTGGCTGAGGAGATTTGACGGTGGGGTGAGCCGCCGCCAAATTGGAAGGGCCGATCCCTTGGTTTTGGAGAAAGCGCTGCCACTGTTCTCTATCCACAGTTATGTGCCTACCGTCCCAGCTAACCTCCTGCAACTCTGGATCATAACTA